ATGCCATGGCCAAAAGTTTTAATTATGAATATGAAAAATTTTGTGCACTCCTGGCTGGCGAAGCGAGTTGTAATTAAATTTTTGCACAGGTAAACGAACTTGTTCCAGGGCTTTCGAGGGGGCGAAACGGTGGCGGCGGGCGATAAAATCTTGAGAGGGTCCTTGTTGTTTTTTGGCTTCCATAACTGATTTAGCGACAAATATGCTGGAGCTGAAACTGGAGCAGGAGAAGAAGTTTAAGCTGTATCTGAGAAGTTGTATCTGAGATGCTGGATCCGTAGCTGCAGCTGAGCGTTGGGCGGAAAACTTTGCATGGGTGCACGGGTCGTATGCGCAATGTTTTTGCCCTTTGTGTGTCGCCGAGGAGGAGCAGACAGGAAGTGGCTGCTGTCGCACCGAAATGTTAATTCTAATGCAGTCAAATGAGTTTGCCATGCTGGCTGGTTGGTTGGCTGGCTGACTGGGCGAAAGTTTGTGCATTTGTGCAGGATGTGATTATGAGGTTTTCATATTAGAAATATATGTGTGTCACCCCCGCTTCGAGCCTGTTCTTGGGATGGGAGTGTGTGTGGCAATAAAATGCTTTACTGATTTGCAAAGTTTTGTCATTAAGCACACTTGGTGCTGCCGCCATCACTTTGGCCTGATTACAGTTTAGAATTTCACAAATATTTGCCTGGGAACGTTTCATCTTTGGCTGTCGCTGTCGCTGTCTTTGTCTTACTTGCTTACTTATTTATTTATTTGCTAGTTGGTTTACTTGATTATTTGCCATTTCCCATGCATGACAGCGTGCTAAAATTTGTCGACAGTTTTATTGGAGAGCTTGCAGGCAGGCGCTAATGTCTCGATGGTGGCACTCAAAATCGATTAAGTGAAAAATGAATATGCTTTAATTGTTTGGCAGATGCTACGATGCGGGGGCTAATTGAGCAAAGCAAATACAATAACGGGGGGAAAAGTTTGGAGATATGACTAATGAATCGTCCAAATTGATTCGGCATTATCAGCTGAGCCCCGCTCGCAGCTACCATTAAATACCGAAAAATGTGCGTGCTTCTTTGGCAATCAGCCATTACTCGCTCCTTACTCGCCTTCTGTGTTTGGGGGATAAAAAATATAGCCATGCTGGTCGGCCATAAATAGGCCGTGCAAATCGGCCCCTTGGGGCACATGCGTCGTATACGTGATATTTTTTAATTACATTCAAAACGCTTTGTGAGTCCTGCGTGCGGAAAATTCGCTTTTAATTGCCCCGGCAACAAAAGGCAGCGACTCTGCCGAAAATTCAATTCGAAAGTGTCCCCAAGCGAATCCAGTGGAAACTAGAAACTCCTTGCTTTCCCATAGCACAGATGGAAATATACTTTGGGAAAACGAAAATGAAAATTTAATTAATGCCGCCACTAAAAACCAGAAAAACCCTGGCTCGCTGGGGGAGGTATGGCGGAGAAAATTCCAAACTAATATGGAAAATATTTTGTATTTGCAGCAAAACTTTTCCACCGGCTGCGGCTAGCTGTTGCGGATGAGAGACAGAGACAACGAGAGTGGGAGAAAGAGATAGTGAGAAAGTCAGAAAAAGAGGATAAGTTAGTGCCTGGAGGATTGTGCCATATATGAGATTTAAGAATGAAGAGCTTAAATGTCGCTATGGAGATATAAGAAAGATTTCAAATCCAACTAGAAAGACTTAAAGTATACTAAGATTATTATTAACCTTTAAGAAATATTTAAACGTAAAATTCTAAGCCTTCTTGTGGCATTGTTAAAAGTTATAAAATTATTTTGAATGTTGGCATAAGAATGCATTCTTTTTCTATATTTTCCATAGTTTATATAAAGCCGTAAAACAAACAATTCTATTAAAATACAATTTCAAAAAGACTTTGCCATAGTTTTCAATTTAATTCGAAGTCAACTCGAAATTTGCGGCATTTAAAGTGCAAATGAACTGAAATTAGCGCCCGGGATCGAGGGGAGAGGCGGGAGACAAATAAAAAGGCATTTAAAATGTCAACACGACCGCAACATCGTGTGCGAAATGGTCAGGAAAGGTGTGTATCTGTGTGCACGGATAACTATGGGTGTATGGGAGGGAGAAAATGGATGTGTGTGTTTATGTGTATGTGTGGATTCTCCTACAGCAACAACGATTTTTGCGGTTGCACAAAAGTAAACCAAAGTGACACAGAGTCAAAGGTGAGGGCTAAACGAGTTTTTGGGGCTCGGGCCCGCAACGCTTAAATGCTTGACCACGAAGAGGCCATTAGAAAATGGCCGCATGTGAGCGTCTATGTGTGTGTGTATGTAGAGGGTCCGGGGGCCAAAAGCCATCTCCGGGTGACAGTTGGAAATTAGGCAAAGCCAACCCAAAGGACAACAAAAAAATTAAAAAACTAAAGCCACAAAACGTTTGCCAACACGTGTAAAGTTCTGCAAGTTTTTCCACCAAGGCTAAAGTGGCCATGTGTCTGTGTCAAGAGGATGGACAACTTGTCAAAAGGGGCGCAGGACTGCCAGACACCTGAACTTGTTAAACTTTAATAGAAAAACTTTCATATTTCGTGAAAAATGTATCCCACTTACAGTTGAGTGGATAAACTATCTTCTGGGTCACTAGAAAAAAATACCTAAAATTCATAAAAAAATAATATGAATACTATTTTAAAATATTAATTTTTAGACATTACTATAGATTTCCTATTTTATTTTGTACTTTTAAACACTGATCACCGGTTTTCTCTTTAAGATGTAACTGTTCTTTCTAGTTAAGTCTGAATTTAGGTCTGAAATATTTCAAGTTTAATTAATCGTATTCTTCTCTCGACTGGAGAATTTTTTTTTTTGTTACCAGCTCATCCTCTGGATGTCGTGCATAAACCCACTGGAAAGCAAATTAAAGCTGCCAGCTCAAATGCAAACGCAGGATCCAACCGAGTCACGCTCTGATTCCCACCTCTAACAACAATGCCCGGAACACCTGAATTTCTGCGGATGTATTCGAAAGTATAATCTTTGCCGTTGCCGCATTGCCGTTGAATGTGTAATAAAGCACATGACTTTGGTATTTTATGGCCCGGCCGTGTTAAATCTGCTCGCAGCTCACCTTGGAGCCACGGAACAATGACCAAGGCACATGGCACTCCGGCGATGATTCTCCGGTGATTCTCCGCTGATGCGAAAGTGGCGGCGGCGACGGTGGCAGCCACCAACGACAACAATGTGCAACAATTAAATGTCAAAGAGAAGCTTTTGATGGACGCTTAAAATCACTGCATCTGTCAGCTGACACTGGAGCTGGAGCTCTGTTTTGTGGCCGTCCCAGGAGCAGAAGCAGTCTGGGCGGTGGTGTGGCAAAACACAAGTCACGGAACGGTCACACAAGCCGCAAAGCACACACCCATACAGCCATGACACACATATGGCGGAGCAGGTGCTCATAGCGTTTAAAATGTACACCCATAAACAAAAGTGCAAACAAAGCCATAAACAAGAGGGCGACCAGGGGAGAAGGAGCTCCGAGCAGGTGTTTCGGCAGTGAGGGGGCAGGGTCTAAACTTTCACCCCATCCAAGTGCCGGGGACCATGTCCTTTGCCGGTCCCGCCGATGTCGTTTGTTAGTTTTGCCTGCCTGCGTTGGACACTGACTGACGGTATGGCCAAAACTAATTTCAATTCAAGAGTTTATGAAACTAATGGATAATATTTTCCTTAAAGTTTAATGTTTTATTATTATCCCTACATTTTTCTTGTTTTCGCAAGATAAGGATTTCCTTTTAGTTATTAGTTTTCTAGGACATCTTATTTCTAGCCATCCTTAGGCCACTGTTCCGGTAAACATTGCTGGCAGCCAACGAACGACATTGAATGTCTGGGTGACAGCGGCCCCCTTCGAACTCTTTCAGTCCCCTCCACTGCTCTCCAGTCCTTCCGGTCGCTGCCTGCTATCCTGCTCCGTTCCCAGTTTGTTAGCTTTGCTTTGTGAGGGAAGGGACTTCTGTTGCCGGTTCGCGGCGTCCCAGCATCCATGGCTTTCATGGGAGCCGTCAAAGGACGAGGAGGAGAAAGAGGAGAAGGAGGAGCAGGTTACTCCTGGAGCAGGAGCTGGAACGGTCCAAGGCAAAGGGCCTGTCAGCGTTTTCTGTGTGCTGCGCTTTGTTTTTAATACATGTACGTGGTGGCATCGTTTATTATTTTTTGTGCTGCCACATCGGAGGCACCGAAGGACAGCACTGCGTATACGTAATACCCAATGCATGCTGTCAGCTACGGCCGAGTGTGCGTATATAACCCATGGGTCCATGTCACGCACACATTAGAAGGTAAACACGCGTTCCGCCACACGATGCATAAACATTTGGACATTCCATTCGCCCAGCTATTTCCCAGCCATGTAAGTCGCCAGGACCTGCGTGTGCGGCATCGTTGGGTTACGAACTAAATTAAATTTTTACATCAACATTTGCGCTTCATTAGAGGCGGGCGAATGGCAGCGAAGGGATGGATGGCAGTGGCAGTGGCAGTGGCAGTGGGGTGCGGCTTGTGTGTGGGACAATGCCAAGTGTTGCTCGTCGAGTGCCCATCCTCTCCGGTGGGAATGGATTGGCCTAAGCAGTCCCAGGCCCAGACAAATGAGTTGCGAGTGTTATTGGTGGGGAAAATGGCAAAGCAAACTGGCTAAATTAGCCCAGGGCCTTCCGGCGTGGGCAGAGGGGAGAATCCAGCCCTGCTCCTGGGTCGATGGTTGGTGGTCGGTGGATAAAAGGATGCTGGCCAGACGGAATGTTAAACTTATCGCAGGCATAACGATTCAATTGATGGACTAGTGGAATTGATAGTCTGGATAATTGGATGGAGTGCGTTGCGAGTGGAGGAGATGTGAAAGCACTGACAGCAAAAATGTTGAGAGCTACGAGAAATTTAATAATTTTGATTTGTTTACGAACGGAAATCCGATAGCTTATACGTGATTTTGCAATGATTCGAACAAAGATAAATCGTGCAGAACTATGACTTTTTAATTCGCTAACAACACTTGAATTTAAAAAAAGGACCGCCTGAGAGCGATTTCTTCTCCGAATTTAAATGACAAACAAACATAATTTTAGAAATATCCGTCGAAGAAATTGCTGTTCCTTTGATTATTCCAAAAGATACAATTTATAAGCCCATGGGTCATGGCACTTCACCATATTCCTCACTATACTCCAAGTGCTTGTCCTCAGTCTCTTTCACGCAACACACCTTCCGCTTGTTGACACAAGTGGTCAGGAGCTTGCTCTGGTGGTCCTCGCAGTTCTCCAGCTCCAGACATTTCCCGCCCATATGGTAACAGCTCGCCAGAACTGAGGGGAGATCAGGCTTCAGGATCGGAAAGCAGGCTCAGGGTTAAGTTCAGTTCTTACTGTTTATCTTCTTATACTTGTAGGTGTAGTAGCCTCCAAACAACAATAACAAAATGGTGATTAAGAGCAAGAAAAACAGACAGGGCAATTGATTTGACATTTTTCCAGTACTCTGATTTTAAAAACATAAAGGTGAGCTTGAAAGGTAACTCACTGACACCGAGAGCTCTGGGAAGTGGGAGCCGGGTGGAGCAGCCTGCCCTGCTCCGCATGATGCCCGCTAAGTGAGTGAGTAAATTATTATGATAATGCCCTTTTGGAGAGCCAAGTGCAGTCTATGGGCAATGTTAAATGGAAACTTCTTAATTAAAAACTTGCTGCATAAAAACCGGCAGCACAAAATCGAGGGAAGCTGCACTGCGAAAAGAGTTTTCTACTGTCTTTAGTTAAAAAAAAACCTTATAACTTTTTGGAGCTTCATTTTTAATCAATCTGCAATCTAAAGTACTTTTGTGTATTATCTAAAATGCTAATAAAAGTTTTCCTTTCCCAAATCTACCTCAATGCAAGGCTCTACTTTTTCGATTACAAAGGGTCAGGTTGAACTTTCCTTCATTCTTTTTAAAATAACTCGCATAACTTGTATTTAAATTGCAATAATCCTTATTTTTAATTTAAAGTGTACAGGGAAGGAGAAGGATAGGACCCATCCTCGAGACACCTCCGTTGCCTGCAAATCAGTGTGAAGCAAAATAAACCGCTTAAGGACTTGCGACTTGGCAGCGCGTTGGAAATAACAAGGAAACTGCCCTCCAGCAGGAGTCTGCTCGTGTTTGTTGGTTCTGGAAAAAGGAGAGGTATCCCCTTCCCGCCAGTAGTGGGTGAAAACCAGGGGGCTGGGCTAGAGGGGTGGCGGAAGTGGCGGGGCGGATGTGCTTGGTCAGGCCATTGGACCATTGGCCAGTTAGGGAGCCGGCAGAAGCTACAGTGGGAAAAAAATTCAATTAAAAGCAACAGCACGTAACTGAAACTTTTCCTTTTCTCTCTTATTTTTGCAAGTTTTGTATCTTTTCACCGACACTCCGCCGCCCCAGTGAAAGCGCGTGTGTGTGTTTTTATTCGAGGGTAGCTGCCTCAGGGCCGCCCCCCGGATCCACAGCACTTTGAGTTATAAGTTGGTGCCAGCTGTCAGTTCTCTCGCTGCCTTGGAAGTTGCATGTTGGCTCCTATTCTATGCCACGTTTCTCGTTCCCCACGAAGCTGCAGCTGAAAATTGAAGATATCGGATTTGTGGCTGGTCAAAGGCATTTCCCATCAAATAGTGGAGCAAGCTGGCAATCGACCATCTATAGCACGAACAAGGGATAGATCCCTGTGAATAATTTGTGTCTTATAAAAGCCAATACTTATCTTTACTGATAACAAAGCTTTTCTATTTACTTGAATATGATAATTAAATGAATAAAATTAATCCAGTTTCATCTGATAGAAGCTGGACTTACAAAAAAATCCACTAAAACGAAGTCTGATGGCCCTACCTTTTGTGCTGCTCCATTGTACTCGAACAAATGGCGTATTCGTCGGGCCAACTTCCTATTTAATCAAGTTATCCAGTCGCTTCGCCAGCCTCTTCCCCAGTCTAATGCAGCCCGATTCGCACATTACGTATTCGCAGTGAGGCCTGCCCGAATGACGTCACCAGAATCAGGTCAGAAAAGGAGCGGTGCAAGGGGGGTTGGCAACGGGCCGAGGGGTAAATGGAGGCTGGGCTGAGCTGGGTTGGGCTGGGGCATACAAATTATGTTGAAGCAGCAAAAATGGCAACTCACTGTGGAATATTTTCGGCTGCTTTGCGCTCTCTCTCTCTCTCTCCTTCTTTCTCCCGTGAGCCCATCTCGCTCTGGCAAACTCACCTTGAGCTTGAGGTTCTTGGGTCCTTTCTGGGTCCTTTCTATGGGTGTGCTACTTAATGGCCATTCATTTGCCCACCAACAGCAACAGCAACAGCGAACTGAAAACTGAAAACCCCCTGGAAAGTTCATTTTCGTTTTTGACATTTTTCAATTTTTGTTTGCTGCCGAGCTGTTTTTCTTTTCTTGTTGTTGTGTTTTGTTGTGCTGCGGGTGTGTGTGTGCTTTGCGGGGGTAAATTAAATTCAGATTATGCGGCTGGCAGAGGCTCTTAACAAGATGAAATGAAATGAGATGAGATGAGAACGAATGGTGGAGCCGAAAAGGAAAAGTGACTGGCATTTATTTTCCATATATTGATTGCTTTTTAATGGATATTTTGCTTCGCTGGCGGCATAAGGTGGCACTGTCCGATATCCTTGCCATCCTGCAATCCGCCCAGTCCCAGTCCCATTCGAGCAGCCTCCACTTTCAGGGAGCATTAATTTTATTTACATAGTTAAATGGTTCAATTGTTTGGCTGTTGATTTAGTGCTGGAATTTCAGACAGTAAAATTAATTGTTTGATTTGTGGCGGCATCGCCCGTTCTCGTTTTCCCACTGTGCTGGCTTATTTTTCGTTTATTTTTTTTCGGCGCTGCCCGCCGCCATCTATGTAGGTCACTTTTCCATTTCCACTTTCCTTGGTGTGTTGTCCCTAGTGATTTACAGTTTTATTTGCACAGTTTATAAATAAAACTGTCAAGTGAGAGACGCCGTTCACTGACGTTGGCAGCTGCTCATCTAATGGCATTTTCCCATGCCTGTTTAAAGTCCCCTCCCGAGCTCCTCAACCATTTGTTATGCTGCAAGGGACTCCCCGCGAACTCCGGGCTCCCTCCGATTCCAGTCCAGTCCGTCAGTCACTAGTCTAGTCAATCAGTTGGAACGTCAATCAAGCAGCAGCTAAAGTTACTGGTCGGAGCCCGGCGCAGCAGGTAACTAACTGGCATCCAGAAGCAAAGTAAATTTTGCCAGCCAGGCAAACGGGGTGCTTCCTGGAAAGTCCTTTAAAGCCGAAGCCGAAACTTTAACCGTTGTTATTGTGGAATAAAGGAAGAATTTTCCAAATTGAAAACTGATATGGAGTGCATTTTAAGGCAATTATCTCGTAGTTGGAATAAAAATGCAGCCACATTGCATATATTAATATTTCATTGAATAAAATTAATTAATATGTGAAATTGAGCCCGGAATATCCACAACATACTCTTAAATCTGAATATAAATCTTTTTTCGGACTACTTTGGCGGGATACTCCTTGGCCTGTAGGGTAAAAGGACAATAACAAATCCATATACACACAGACCCAGCTCAGCCAGCATAAAAAATTCACCACGCTTCGCTCTTTGGGCCAACAACTCTTTGGGTTGCCTTTTACTTCGCTGCTTTCTCTTTCGTCTAGGAGAGCCGCCCAGCCTCTCCTCTCTCTCCGGTCTCTCCTACCAGCCTGTGCCCCGGCCTCAGCCCTCAATCCTCAACCTTCCCACTCCCGTGACTCCCCCACGCATAGACATGGCAACAAAAGTGGTAGCAACGGCAGCGGCTTTCATCTTTTTTTAGCACACGCGCCCGAGACTTGCCGCCTGATATGGCCGAAAGTTCGGCCGCATTCCGCACGCCGCTCCGTTCCGCAGCCCGTCGCCTGTCGACTGTCAAATCAATTTGTCAGAAATCACTGACAGCTGCTTACAGCCAAAACACACATGGGTGGCCATCACAATCGTCATTCGCCCTCTGAAGAGTTGTCATGCCACGAGCAGCGAGAGAGCGGCAAAGCGAGTTAGAGCCCGATACTACAGCCTCGATTTTCGACTCGGTGATACCCCATAATCACATTGCCTCTGCAGGCTTCCCACTGCTGCACATGTAATTTCATTTTTGGGAATTTTGGAGCTTGCCATGCGATGTTTCAGGGTAACTCTGATGCTCTACCCTGAAATCTGCAAAATTGATGACAGTTCAAAGTTAACAAAGGTTTTAAAACCAGATTTAAACTGTGTTCTAGCCTAAGCTAGAAACTATTTATACATTTTTAGTAATATTTAAAATAACCAGAATCCATTTCTAGTATTTTTTTTACCAGAGAGACTCTCGTTTTTAAAGTTTGCAAACACTTAATTCAATAACCATTGGACTAGTGGTGTCTGTATCGATTTTGTTTTTATTTTCACAGTAACTCCATTAAAATGCTAATTGATTTAAAGGATGACTGCTTCGTCACAGCATTGGATGTACATATATAATAAACTAATCGATGTATACATATATGTTATATGATTTAAATCAATTTTAAGTCATCGCAGTGCAATGCATGAACGATTTTTAGCGCATATATTTTTTATCAGAGTTAAATTATTTTAAAATCATAAAAAATATATACAATTACTGAAAAATAATGAAAAGTAAAACAGACCTGGATAAATACAGTATTCATTTTGAATAAAGTTAACAAACATATAGTTTCGTTGTTATTTAAACGGTATAAGAAAGTTAAACTACTGAAAGGTATCGAAACATTTCGGTAGCATATTATACCTTGGCGATCCACGAGTACCGGGTAGAAATCGAATATAGTAAGAGACATGGCTTGGCGTAAAAAAAATTGCCTAGGGTGTAAATTATTGCGCATATTTTCATTTCTCTTCAAATTGCTTTGCAGATTGCCAGCATTTGAAAATTGTCTATGGCATCCTCCAAACGCTTTTGACATTTACAACTCATTTTTTTTTTTTATTCTAAACCGAAAAAAAATGTCGACGCAAGAAAGTTTTCAAGTTCGACTCTGACAGACAGCGGCTTTTGTTTGCATGCCATAGACACACACACACATATACAGGGGCAATACACACAGAAACACACACCCAAATGCACCAGCAGACGGTTCGGTTGAAAGTTGTGCGCTGCGAGGCGTATACGTAATTTAACAGACAATGCCAAAGCGAAGACGAAAGACCGATGTGAAAGAAAGGCGCTTTACCAAACAAAACAACGGAAAAAAGGTGGATAAAAAACAAGGAAAGGTCTTTGACTGAGGCGGTTCGGGATGTGGATAGATGCCCTAGCTGTCGGAAGGGTTCAGGTAGTTTTAATAGGGGCTTTGCGATAGCAAAGCAGAATCTCGCACATCATGGGGTAAGTCAATAGGGTTATTGAAATACTTTAAGAAGGCATAAGAGTTTTTAAATAAATGAAGATTCAAATATGTATGTTTTTTTCTTTAAAAGGGTTTATGTATAAACATATTACTATCCTTATTTCCTTTTAACTAACAAACATTGCAAGACTTGTTTTTTAACTAAAGTGGAAATATTGTAAGGATTTCCATAGAGTAAAAGTTTACACAAAACAGGAATCGAAACAATTGGGGTTGATTACGCAAAGGGAAGGAGACGACTGAGCCCGATATAGAATGGATGGTGAAGAAAAGATTTCGGCTCTCTATATTATACATCTATAAACTTGGAATGCTTCTACAATTAAACAAGATTGAATGCTTACCTTAAATGCGAAAAAGTTTTGAATGCCCAGACCCGAAAGTTATGCCAAGTATTTTATACAAATGGGAGAAATTACTTCGCAGGCTCAAGGGAATCCGAAGTTCGTCCATCAGTTTTTTGGGGCATTGTTTCGGTTTGTTTTTCGATTTTCTGGGATGCTTTTTGTTGTTCTTATTTTTTTCGGCATGCCAGCAGCAAAGGCAGCAACAATCAGTAAGGAGAATCAGTAAGCAGCATGTTACTGCTGTTGCTTTTTATTTTTATTTATTTTTCGTTTGTAATCTCTACCCCTTTTTTGTTGCCGCTCGCTGTCTGTCTCTCGGGGTGTGTGTGCTTTCTTTTTCCCCTTGCTATTTGGTGTGTTTGACCAACTACAACATACAAGCTCATAAATAAGTAGGCAAAGGCCCATGGACCAGAGCCGGAGCCGCAAGGGTGCGGGAGTCAAAGGGGTGCGAGGCGAGGGCTTGTGACTGAAAATGAAAAATGGATTTCTGTGTCAGTTGGTTGCCATAATTTCGGCTTTTCCTTCTTTTCCCTATCCGCTCTGCTCCATTCATTTGCTTTGGCTGCTTTGACGCGCATTCATCATTTGGCATTCAGTTTGGTTTTGTTTTCGGTTTCAGGCTTCGCAGCGTCCTCCCCTTCGGTTTGATTCCTTGCTATCTGCGTCCGTTTATTTAATTAATTATTTTAAAGATTCCCGTCCTCGTCCTCGTCCTCGTCCTCGTCCTTTTTCTCGCATTTAATTAATTTATCAAAAGTGCAAATGAAAATTTCCCGGTCTGACGTCGACGCTGACGCTTCTTTTTTGTCTGTTGTCTCTGGCTCTGGCTCTGCCTTCTGCTGAACTGTCCCTTTTCGTTTATGCTTGTTTAATATTTTATTTTATTTTAAATAAAACAAACTTTAAATTAGCCCGACAGTGGCCCGATCCCTAGCCCGATCCCCTTGTGCATAAGTGGGGTTAAGCTGTGTGGCTGTGGGTTAAGCCAAGGCCAAAGTTGCGGCAGAAAAGTTTCATTCGTGCTTTTTTCCCCCGTTTTGTTTTTTTTTGCGGCTGCTGCTACCTAACTCTGCTCCGGTTGTCCCTGCTAATGCTGATAGGTCTAATAACTCCCTGGGATGCTGTAATCCTTTGGGTTGTCTTGTCCGCGTCCTTGTTGCTGCTTCTGTTGTTGTTGTTGTTGTTGCTGTTTCTCTAATGGACACTGCGAGTCACGTAAATGAGCCCGATGATTATGAGGCGATGATGATGATGATGCCGATGCTTATGCCGGCTACGTGTTAATTTCTGTGACAGCGCGGCCAAAACTTTTGCACTCAGAGCAGCCCTAACCGAAGGCAAAGAAATCCGGCCCATCGGGCGTATGCGTTATATTCAATAAACAGCTGTCTGCCAATTTCGGTTGCATTAAATATTAATTTGTGCAGCATTTTCGGCCAGACACTTTGCATATTTCCCGCACATCCGTTAGCCAAAAACGGAAATTAGTTACAGAAGTTATAATTAAATTCCTTTGGCTGCATGTGAGTCCTTGTATATCCCAACATCTGTGCCTGTGTGCAGCAAACTGAGCTTGTAAACAGGCCTGGGGACCTGTGTGTCCACGGACAGTGGACTCCAAAGTTCGGCCAGACGTTGCCATGGACAACACTTGAGTGCACAGCCGGTGGAGAGTCGACAATGCCGGCATATGGACGGGACAAGGGGGCAGCAGGGGGTTGGCCAGGACACTCTAGCCATCGAAGAGGATTCTTAATTAGAAACAATTTGAGGCTGACTGATTGCTGGTGGCTAGAGAGTGGTCTCTACAGTTACCTACATCGTTGGCAACACGCACTGTTGACTCATGGTCATTAGTTGATAAACGAAACTATTCTTTGATTCAGAAGGAAACGGAAATAATTTATTATTGTTATTTCAGAATTAGTTTTAGCAGGAAGATTTAATTTCTTGAAGTGTAAACATTTTATACCTCAAAATGTTATTAATATTACAAGGCTTTGAATTAAGTAAAAAAATAAAAATCAATAATTATCGGGAAACCCGTCAAGAGTAGGATATTGTGTGACAAATGGCTGTTTCTCCAGAAACACCACAATACATTCTAAATTGTGTCCTTCCTTGGCACTTCCACTGTCATAAATTTCCGCATCAAGACCGTTTTATGGAACCGCAAATTTTGGCTGAAGAGCTCTCCGGGGACCGTCGTGGGCCACTCCCCCATAGGGACGGGCACGGGAACGGGAACGTGGACGGAGGCACACATGTATCTATTATTTCATTTCGATCATTGCCGCCAACTGGTTGTCGATTATTGAAATTGATTTGCACAATTGAACGCGGTGGCGAGGACGCACATAAATCACACATGCATCAATTATGGAGCGCTCGTAGTCAGCGGGGCCGTCAACGTTGCTGTGCATCAATATTTGATGCCGCAAAAAACAGACAGGACCTCTCATCCACTTCCCCAAAATGGGGCGTTTCCCAGTGCGTGCCGGGAGGAGCTTGGGACGTTTTCCGGGCCCCCGACTAGAGCAGCTAACTCCAGATGGAAATGGAGGTCTGACTGGCGATTACAATTCTCGTTTGCCATTCGCGCTTCGCTGCCGATCAATTATGCAAATGGGATTGGGACAGGGATGGATAAGGGGTGAGGGTACGGGGGCGGATGACATATTCAATAATAAAGTGTCGCCGATGACGACGTCCCTGCAAGCATGCCACAGCATTTATTACAAGTATTGCGTATACGTAATGTTTGCCAAAGGATTTGCCCCTTTTCGGCGGAAGCTGGTGCACCACCAACACCGCCACCATCGGCAATTGTCTGCTCCGAAAAACAGCTGGGGCGTATACGTAATGCGAGGTCAGAGACCATATGAGCCAGTAAGTGGAGTAACTCGATTGAAGTCTGTTTTTTTTTCCATGTTTTTCCCATGTTTTTTGTTGTGCGATGCGAGTTCTCCGTACTCTGCCGGGGATTGCGTCTTTGGGAAATGGGATTTGGAGCTGGCTGCGCATTTTCATAGCCATAATTGGATATGCTTTGGAGCCGGGCCAGCATTACGAATTCATGGCCAGCAGTGGCCTTCCAAGCCCATTTATTATGACCTCCGTAATTAGGCGGCGCGCTTTCAATATTTATCCCATATCCCCGTATCCGTTTCCGGATTTAGGCCCAGTAAACACTTGCCCGCGACCGCCATTAACACATTTCTGCTGAGGCCAGTTAAACCCCACCAACTGGCAGCTGGCAACCGGACCCCGAGCCCGAAACTGACCCGCTAAAAGACAATAAAGTTCAATATTAATGCACCCTTTGACTCCGAGGGGCTCCGTGGGGAGGAGTTGCCGAATCAAGCGCCATAAAGGCAAGACAAACAGGCTACTTAAAATAAGACCCGACCTCGAAAAAATTTTTAATGATCTGTCATAAAAGCGGCAGCGAAAATTGAGCGCCGGCCACATAAAACTGAATTTATTAGCATTGCATACTTTTGAGGGCAATCAAGTTACCAGAAAGGGACCCCTGTCCGCCGTTCCCCGCGGAAACTGTTGCTCCAGCAGGCCACTGATCCGGGATACGGTATCCAGGACCCCGAACTTAACTCCGCTGAACTCGGAACAAGACACCAAATCCTTTAAGCACTTCTGCAGCGTGGCGCCGACGAATCGCCGCTGTGTGTGTGGCGGCAATTAATTCCGAAATCACAATGGCCATAAAGATGATGATGCGACTACAATTTGAATGCCCGGCCACCACCGCATCCAGCACCGTTGCCGCGTCCCGGGACCCTGCTGTCAAAGACAGCACCAAATTGACAACAATGGCGACAAGCGGCGTTCGTAATAAGTAGTTTGGCTGCTGCGACCCTTCTCCAAGCCCAGCACGCGGCGCCCGGCACAGCCACTGCTTCTGACCCTCAGGGGTGGCGGCCATTAAATCAACGCAGGACATGCCTGGCAGGACACTGCGCCTATTGCCGCACACAATATATCAAAGTTTATGTTGATTTGAGTGGCGCAGCAAACTTTTAGCCTCGAAAAAATGTATGCACAGAGAGAAACTAGAGATATCGCGAAGTCAACTCACAAATAAAACTGTCTTTTATATTAGAAGTGATTAATATTATGTATTTGTTTTATAGAAATCCCATCACATGACGTAGACCAAAAAGGCCTGGATGCTCTTGGCAATGGAGTTGTTAAGATCGACGTCCTCTGAGATTTTAACAAGTTTACTGCCGAGCTTTTGATATTCGTCTACGTATGTAAATAAAGTCTCCTGCATCCTGCCGAGTATCCACTGGAAGCGGTAGTGCTCGACGGATCCGTCTGGGCCATCCGACTCGGCACTGAGCACTTTTATTATGCGCTGCAGGATATCCAGAAGAATGCCTCTGATGGCAGAATCGGTCAGAGCCGAGTCTTTGGGCTCGTCCTTCACAAGGTGGCGCTTTCTTGGGCCCAATCTCTGAGGATTTTGCACAAGACGCACCGTGACATGGAGCAGCTCCCAAGTGTACATCTTGGTGAGTTCCCTGCGCATTAGCGGCCCAAAGAGCCAGGACACCACGTACTTGGGCATGAGCACCTCCATCCGGATCATTTTCTCGATCACCACAAGGATGTAGTGCTGGTTATTGAACCATACTTCGAAAATTCCCTCCATAATGGCATGCTGCTCTTCTTCGGCTGGAGCCAAGTCCTGCCAAGGAAAACAGAAAGAACGAAGTGAAATTGGGAATGGAGAGAGATCAACCATGACTGTTAGCCTTACCTTAAAAACCTGGTGATATTTGGCAAGCGTGGCAAAGGTGTGAGAAAACGACTTGCAGCTGAGGTGCAGACAGTTCTGGGTAAACACGTTGATCTTGCGCAGCTCTGTGGTCGTGGTAGCTCCTTTCAGCAGTGCGTGGATCCTGTCAACTTCAGTTCGCTTGTCGCGCATAGCTTCCAGGAGTAGCTCGGACAACGTGGCGCCCGAAATTAAAGGATCAATATACTTGAATTTCGGATGGGGCATCGGCGGGAGGAAGTGGGCAAGGCTTGGTGGCAGCAGCGTGGCTATTTTTCGGTAGTACGATAGTCTGAGGATCGTCGAACGGCATTGGATAGAAGTATGAAAGATACAAATTATCAAAAAGCCATAAGGGATCTTACCTGATACATTTTCCAACAAGCTCCCTAAGAAAGATCGCCTTGGGCTGAAAATAACCTAAGCCCAGGCAATCATGAGCCCACTGCCCCCAGTGCCAGTGAAATCCGAAGTTGGAGAGATGCAGCGAGAGCCAGTTTACCAGGCGATCGAAGCAGGCCACGTTCATTGACTCCAGGTGGGAATAGATAATGTTCGCCGCCTGCACCACGATGGGAGGCATCTTGTAGGGCTGCAGCCGGCACAGCTCGATCAGAATGGATCCGTAGTTGATGGTGGGCAAGGCGGCCTTGGGAAGGCGCAGCATTTCGCCCAAGATTACCTCCACGATGCTGTGACACACGGCCAGCTCTGGCTTGGAGGCGGCAATGAACAGCATATGCTTGGCGCACTTCTTTCTCTCCAGGTGATGTGACTGAAGCACATGCCTTACCTGGGCCTCCAGAAGGTACCGCTCGATGCTGAGCGACGGAGGCAGCTTGAGCTCCTCGTGCGATGTGATGCTGAAGTCAAAAATGCGGAAGATTAACTCCGACTGCGGATAGCTCCAGCCCCGCTGGTGGGGCGGCATTTCGAAGGTCGGTAAGGAGTGTTGCAGAGCCGCACTCAGCCTCTCGTCGAAGGCCAGGTACGGGCGCGGCAGGAGCTGGTGATCTGGCTCGGCCCACTGGTGCTCCTCCATGGCCTTTACCTGATGCCACAGCGACTCCAGCTGGTCCAGCAGCGGCGGTAAGGTACTATCGCGCCAGACACTCAGGAGAGGCACGTGCAGGGCCTCCCTCTTTTTCACATGAATCTGGAGCGTGACCAAAAGCCTCTGGAAGTCCGGCTTCTGATCGAGCTCCTTGCCCACGAAGGGCAGCGCAGAGAGTACGCAAAAGGCCAGCCAGTCCCGTCGAGACTGGTCATCACTCACGGAACCCGCCTCGCAGGGATCCTCGCACTCAGCCACGAAAGCGGTGAGCAGTTTCATAAGGGACGCGCTCGTGACCACGTTGCAGTTGAGCAGATCCACCAGAAAGCGCAAAACGACCCGGACATGCAGCCATTCGCCATTGAGCAGGTAGTGCCGCAGCTTCCTTACCATAAACTGCAAGCAGTCGGATCCAAAGCGGAAGTTCCTCGCGTTTGCGAGACCCACAAAGGTGGCATAAGCACTGACGTGGCCGGGATGCTCAAGCACGCAGTTCTCTAGGATGCGAAGGATGTCGGACTTGTGGCTCTCCAAGAGGCTGCTCAGGAAACAGGAGAGATTCTCCAGCTTCAACTCGATGGAGGTGCCGCCCAGGTAACTTAGGCCGTGCATCATCGTGTCCATGGTCTTCACCACGTCCTGGTCCAGGACCAAGCGCGGTTTTTTTCCTGTTGTTGTATCAGAGTCCTCATCACTGGATGGCTCGCGAGTTGGGACACCTTTCAAGCTGACCGACCTGGGGGACTTACTTCGTTTTAGTTATGAAAACACAAATGAAATCTAACCTTTTCATCGTAGGTTTTATTTAAGGAATATCACGATTTTTATCAACGTTCTCCTATATCTGTTATGCTTGACTGGTAATTCTATAGTGGGCCACAAATTACATATTTTATTTGACGTTTGATTCGTCAGCTTGGCCCAAAGCCTGCTTTATAGAAACTTCATTTTTTCGTTGAGCGTTTTTGCTTAATTTAATTACTTTCGAAGTAATACAGCTGTTTTGATTCCAACGATCAGACTTGTGACTTTTTGGAGTTCTTTTTTACTATTTTTAAAATATTTTGTAGTTATTTCATAACTCAACAAAATATCAAATCTCAAATGTTGTACTAAATTTCGCTCTCTGCATAAGCAATGGGACCGAAATTCGTGTTATTGTCTCCTTTTATTGATTTATTTGGCTTGTGTCCACTTCCTCTACCGCCTCCCATTTTTATCATTTGCCGTTTTATTTGTGTGCTTATTTTTGATTAGATTTATTTATTTTTATTTTCGCTGAGCCGCCGTCGGCGTCGTCGCCGATGAAATTTAATAATTCCACTTAATGCAATAATAATTTCGTCGCCTTTTGTTGCCGGCCCCAGTCTCGGAGTCGGAGTCCGAGTCGGAATTTGAAGCGGAATGGAGACGAAGAGAGTCCAGATCCGAGTTTGGGCGCTTGGGTTTCCTTTCCCCATCGTTTCCGTCATCATTTTTGTGGCCAACGCATAATTTGTGCGAAATTTGTCAGATTGCTGCCACAGCGTCGGACGAGCTCTTAAGTCTGAGTAATGCTGGCGGATCGGGCGACATCGGGGCACGGGGGTTGCCGGGTGGCCAAGTCATTTGTAATATGTTTTATTTGACTTGCGGCAGATGCTCCGCTCAATGAAAGCTAAGTAATTGACGCTGCGAACTCCCGGCGGAGGGCAACTGCCGCAGCGGCAGCTGATTACAATTAGTTGGGGGAGTTTGCTAAATTGTTGCCAGCCGGGAAAATTGTTGCGGAAAGTGAGCGGCGAACGGCGGCGTTGACGCCAATTGGGAGATGGCATTTATTTACCGTTTATATGCTTGTTACCTATAAAAACACGCACCTGACAACTCACTTTAATGTATGTCAAACCTCAGCACTTGGCAACTGGATGGAAAAATGAGAGCGAAACGAGAAAGAAAACACGAACAAGAATGGCAAAAAATTCCAGCAGCCTCTTTTTGACATTTTGAGTGACATTATTTGTGTCAACAATAAAACACTCAAGCAGCCATGAGCGAGATGAAGAAGGTGACCGAGAGGTGAGGTGAGAGAAAACATAGCAGGTACACTGAAATAAAATAGGGGAATATCATGAATGAAAGATTCATAGAAAGCAATTGAAATTGATGCAGTTGTTTATATAAACATAAGCAGTCAACAGAATTAAACATTATTAGAAATATTTATTTCAATTTATAAAAATGTGTCTCATATTGTATAGTTTAGAAAACCATATAACTTATAGTATTTGTAACCTTTCCATTATTCAAAAATGTCTAGTATTATGTGTGGTTTCAACAATGTTGTACATATACATAGGTAACTCTCCAGAAACAGGAACCGCGGCCAAAAAATGCAAAATTGTCTAAAATGATTATGTAAAACAAGTTGCATTAAGTTTCAATTTTAAAAGAATTAAGCATATTCTAAAACAAATTTTGAAATATTCGAATGCGATTTCAAGCGGACGCGCTTTTTCATTAATATGGTGAAAAATATCTTAAGAAGGCCATGTTTTGTTTTAATACTAACATCAAAAACAGAGGCTTGATGCTTTGAATTTTACTTTTGACATCCCCCGAAGAATGTATATACATTAGAGTATACATTTTATAAAATTAAAATAAAGTCTTGGCACATGTTTTTTTCAGTTTGAATGCGTAGAATTGTCGCGTTCGATATGAGCGATTTGCCCATATATCAAATAAAAAAGTTGAAATTCCTTTCTTAATAACTTCTGTGGGCCTCCTCAATTTTAAAGGATGTTCTAAGAAATATTTTAACAAATAAATCTTGTTTGTTCAGATGTATCTCGCTGTGTACATAGGGAGCTGGAAGCAAATAAGCACAAGTACAAAGTGGAAAGTGAAAATAAGCAGCCGAGGAAAGGAAACCGAACTCAAACCAAGGCCAGCGCAATTTAAAATTCAATAAAACTTCAATCAGCGTTTAAAAATGTGTTCGTATGCGTGTGTGTATGCTCGAGAGGGTGTGTCGTTCGCCGACTGTGGCTCAGTGGATGTGTGTGTGAGTGTGGCAAGTGGAAAGACAGCGCCCAGCAATTTAAACAAATTGAAAGCAAGCGCAAATAAAAAACAGTTTGTTGCCACTTTTCACATCAATTACGCACTTCAGCCAAAATAGACGACGAGGACGAGGACGAGGACGAGGCGAAGAAGAATAAGGAGAAGCCGAAGACGAGGACGAAGACGAACAAGGCGTCGAAGGGGACTTGGCAACGAAGACGAAGGGGTGGCGGTGGCGCAAGTCCTTCGACCCACCTAACCCAGCCCCGGCCCCCCCGCTCAATCTCTTCGGCTGCTGCTCCTGCTTCTAGTACAAAAATAACACTTGAAACTAAACGCGCATTCAGGCGACGCCGCTGCTGCTGCCGCTGTCGCTGTCGCTGCCTCGGCCGTTGCTGCCACACCCACCAACAACAACAATTTTCGCCTGCGTACCACGGGGCGTATGTATTTTTCCACGGCGCTCTGTAGTTGTTGTTTCCTAGGCAGCAGCTGCGGGTTGGGGGGAAATGCCGGGCTAAATGGAGGGGATTCCAATTGCCACCCACTAGCCGCCATCCAGCATCCAACAACCACCACCCAGGGCCCACAATTTGAATGCCTCACCGCCGTTTGTCTATGTTTTCCTTTCGCAAAAAGCGAAAGTAAATGTTTGAAAATCGTAAGGAAGGAAAAATCAAGTAAGCATCAGTTAAAAACGTAAAATATCGCCTGGCCATGACGAACAAGAGATGCTCTGGGTGGCGTATCAAGATAACTACTTGTATTTGCAGCCAATCTAAAGGTTGAGTTTATGTTTTGCTATTGATAAAAGCAGGAAAAAATGTAGAATTTCGTTTAATATTGTTGTTTTTTGTTGTACAAAAAATTTATGGTAAATGATTTTTTAATTTTAAATGTTATAATTATGTTAGCATAGATGAAATAAACAAAATGTATGTACTTAAATATGTATTTTCTAGTAATTTATGCAGAAGAATAATGTTAAAATAATAATTCCTGGATGGCTGAAAAATAATCTTCTGAATTTTATAAATACATTTTTTATGAAAAAAATAAATAATACAAAATTGCTTAAAGTTTTCTCGTTTGTTATTTTCCAGCTAATAAATTAAGTGTTTTGTAAAAACTAAAAAAAAGTAAACATAATTTTGAAAAATATTTAAAAATGCTTAAGTAAAAGCTGAAGACACAGTTTAAATACATATTCACCGTCTTCCACTTTAAACACAATTTTAAGACCGCTCCAGGTAGTATCTTTAAAGCACTTTTCTTCCGAATCTGCGAGTCTCCTTGTTCCGCGTTTTCCCCCGAGAGCTTCAGCGAACGAAACATACCCTTTTCGCAGGGTATTGGAGATGTGGAGAAAAAAAAAACAAAATGCTGGCAAGCTTTTTATTGCGCGTGATAACAAGCGGGGAGGCTGGTGGCCGGAATTGTCCTAAGGTGCTGATGGACGAGGACCGGGGCGGGGCCGTGGCAAAACAGAGCGGCAGAGAGCGGTACGGAGAACTGGAGAGCAGCGAGAACTTACAGGGCTTGCAGGCGGGGAGCCGAAATCTGGTGGGCCTCTGATGTCTGGGCAGTGCGCTGTTTGATGTTATTATAGATGACGATGACGATGATGGCAATGCTGATGGCGATGACGACAGCGCAAGGATACAGCGCCCCCGTCCCACCCCGCCTGCCCCCTCTCTTACCGACAAGGCTGCCAATCAAAGTCGCCGCGCAAATGTCTTGTTCTTCGGCTTGTTCAGGTTGTCAGGGCTCCTCAAGTACATGCGTGTGTCCCTGTGTCCCTTCCGTCGCAGTGTGATTGTGACTGTGTTTATACACCCTGCAGTTCCAAAATTCCTCGCCCGTCCAATTCCTCGCGGTATGTTCGAAAAACAAAAACAAATTACATGGGCCTCGTTCAGCGAAGTTCGAAACAAAATAGCCGAAACAAATTCTACCTACGCTCGGCTACTGCCGAGGGCTTCACGAAGTTCGTTCTTCATATTTGTTATTGTTTTCGATCTACGTTCGGAGTAGCGGTTGCGAGAATTCGTAAATTAGAGAGAGATGGAGATGGAAGGAAGGGAGGAAAGAAAACTGGTGTCAAAAACAAAGAGTATTGCACCGACGTGAGAATGACCTTTTTAAAATAAGTAGAGTTATCTAAAAATATTTAAGATTATATTTAATTAATTTTTACGTATAAAATCGTGTGGGATATAAGCACGTAAGTAAATGTGCTTTAGACATGGCCGAAATGTTCATGTTCGATTATTTGCCCTTTGTGAATCTAATTGCAAGGCATTGCCCTGTCGGCTATACCCTAACACGCGCGAGAATTTTCGGTGTTCGGTTTTGTCTTCTAATTCTCTTTGCATTTTGAGTTGACTGCTGTTGCATTCAGAAGTGTTTTGCGTATTAGTTGCGTAAAAATGAAATATTATAAGGTAAGTGGAACTTATTTGCATTCAATTATTAATTTTAATTGCAGAATTGACGATTAAAATGGATGCGACTTCAACTTAGACGGTGTGAATGGGATTCAGTACGGATTTACAAAGTTTTTTTTATCCAGTTTAAGTTGGTATGTACTGCAATTTACAATTTGATTAAAAAATATGTATGTACTTATGTATTTAATTTACAGATAAAACAAGTTTCTTAAAGGACCCAGCAGCCGGCAAAGGAGACTCGTGACACGCATATATACATGTTTAATTTTGCAGAAAAATGTAATGCTACCAAAAAAGTGAAGATAAATAAAAAAATGCAATCCATAAATAAATAAGGAATAAATTCATCGGATTTTTACTAGGAAGGGGGGGATTTTTCAGGAATTTTCTATAGATTTTCATCTGGGATTCCTGGCGGATTCCGCTAGCGAATCCCGCAAGATTCGTCCACGATTCCCCCTGTGATTCACGCGCGATTCGTCGACGATTCGCCCCAGCGATTCCTTGACGATTCGTGCAAGATTATCTTTCGAAATTCCCGTGGACCTTCCCGTGCGATTCGTGATGGATTCTTGGGCGATTTCGAATTACAGGCTGGGAGCACATTTTGTATGGAAATTCCTAGCCGAGTTGTATGAACGTTCCATGGCGAATCCTCATGGAATTATTTCGGTTCCATGGCGAATCGTAGGGGAATCGTTGACGAATGGAACTGAAGGGCATATACATATACATATACGTATGTGTCTGTGTAGGTGGGTGTGTTCGTTTGACAGCCATTACTTTGTTGCCTAGGTGTCGCCGTCGCCATTGACAATGATTTGCCGTGGCTTAAAGCTGCCCGATCCGCCAGGTATTTAAGTCTCTGGCGCTGCTTACACTTTCTGGCATATTTGTAAACTTTCAATTTGTTCCGTAATCACAAGAAGGATTTAGGCAGAGCTTTTGAAATTGAATAACAAGCGAAATGTCAATTTATTGGATTCTTTTTCTAGGTATAAAGATATTTGTTAGAGTGCCAACTAAATATAATAAATATTCAAAAAACTTTTTCTATTGAAATGTTAATCATTTCATATATGTAAAAAATTTAATTGTGAACTATATATTTTGCACGAGTGAATTTTACTGAGCTAACTAATTAGTCATCTTGTTAATTTACAATTAAAATCGCTTACAAAATGAAGAACAAAATATTTGTATACTGTTATAACTGAATATTTTAGCTGTTCTAAATTAAAATGCTAAAACATTTTGTGTCGCAACGAGAAAGAATTCTAGCTTAGGAAAGCTGTAGTGTGAATACCCTTGAAGTTTGCAATTGGACTATACCATTAAGTTCATATTCGATCATAACTAAACTCATAAATATCCTTAAAGAGTATTTTAATTTTAGGTAAAAGCAAGCAACGCAGCGAAATTGTCATTTCCGTATATGACTTATAGGGTAATCGTAGGGTAATCGTTTTATAAATTTTAAACTCCTTGATTTGATGACCTGATAAAAAATATATTTCTTTACCTAACAATTTTCTTTTCCCTAAATTTTTCTTTTTACGTAAATATATTACTTGATTATTGTGATTACCTATTTATTTGCAGCTTCCATATAATTTGAGTTTGTAACTCTAAATTGATTTTTATACCCTTGTCTCTGCATAATTAAAGGTAGTCTCTTGGTTTATTTGTAACTTTATTTAGCAAGTTGTAAAATATTGTTAAGCAAAAACACTGTACTTTGCACCTTCGGAGGAAAAGAACATGAAACTTATCTTTGAAAATCAAAGTTAATTACAAATTCAGAAAGATTTTAAGGATTATGAACAAGATAAACCATTATATTCCAAGGCTTCTGTGGGGTAATATCAGTATTTCGGCTTTACATCTGATAGCTGATAGCCTGAAAATAGATAAATATATGCATTTCTTACTTCAATTTCAAGGTGTTTGTTCAAAGCAAATATTTAAATTCAGATATTTAACGAATAAAATACCACAAAAAATGAACTAGAACTAAGATCAAATCTTAGGAGTTTATGTAAAATAAACTTGGTAATGGCTCTTAAGAGAGAGGGCTATTTTTTTTGCTGCTCAGCGATGTAAATCGGAAGTACCAGTAAGGCATTTGGTATTCATTGTTTAAGACGAAGCGAGCGACATTTGTCAAATCTATGGGAATTACTACTTCCGGCGGAACTGCTCGGCCCGCTCACCTGGGCTGCGTTTAGCCAGGAGTCCTTGCTCCTTGCCTTGGCGCTGTTATCCTGTTCCGCGGCGCGGCGGCTGCTGGCGCCTAACAATATGCAATAATAACAATTTACATATTCATGAGACGCCCGACCCGCAAACAGCGGCAGCAGCAACAACACAAGGGCCAGCCGAAGGATGGGGAGCTGGGCGGCGTCAGGCGGCAGGCGGCAGTTTGCATAAAGAGCAGCAGAGGCAGAGGCCGCTTAAAAAAATCAACAAGAGCCCCTCGCTCCTTCCCTTTGTAAACCCGATTGGGCAGCAGCCCTTTTGTTAAGCCGGGGCGTAACTGTAGCTGGCCAAATATTTATATTTATTCCGCTGGGCCCTCTCCCCCCACCCCCCGCCATGCCTCGCCAGCTCATTTATTTATTTTTCATATTTTTATGATATTTATTTTCGGGCTGGTATTTTGTTTGCCCCGGCAGCGCAAATTTGTGCGCTTCGAATACTTTTGCGAGTTGGATTTCGAATGCCAATGGATGCCCACACCGATGGGTGTGGGCCACGGAGCCTGGGCTTTGAACTGGGCGAACGCGGGGCGGCAGGGGAAAAGGTTAAGCTACAAGTATTATTTTTAGTTGGGCTGCTGATGCTGATGCTGCTGGCGCTGCTGCTCTTACCATCCGCTCTTTAAGAATCTCGGCAAGAACCTACCACAAAAATGAATCAAAACAAAGGCTGGGGGAAATCGCAAGAGCGAGAGAAATCGCGAGAGAGATGGCCACCGGATGAACAGCATCCACACGGGATTAGAGAGTCGGCGCTCTGTCTTCTCTCTATTTTGGGACACTCTGATGATTGGGGACTGCGAACCGAGAGCAGGGCACTGAGAGCTGAGCACTTGGGAGCTGCGAGCTGCGAACTGCGAACCGAAGTCCGTCAGTCAGGTGCAGACAGTTGACGTGTTCGGTTGACAAAAGCGGAAACGTGCACTAGTTACTTTTTTTCAAAAAAAAAAAGACCAATACAAAAAAAAAAAAACAGAAAATAGAAAGCACCAAGTAACAACGACAACAACAACAACTGACACACACAGAGCACCTCGAGAGAGCAGGACAGCCAGCAGGACAGAGAGCGAAGGAGCGGAGACGGAAGCAGCCATGCCAGCGGCAACTAGATAAATGATAAATGATAAATGCTAAATGATAAAAATGTGAATAAAATTGCGACTGGCCAAATAGAGCAAGACGAAGAACAGCAACAACAGCAAGGAGCGCCGCTGTGTCCGTGCCCGTGTCCGTGTGTGTGTCCGTGTCGTGTCCGTGTGCGTGTGCGAGAGAGCGAGCGACAGCGCGAGTGTGTGTGAGCGAGTGTTTTCTACCGAGAGTGTGCCAGTGTGAGTGCGTGTCACATATCAGCAGCAGCAGCAGAAGTTCAGTGGAAAAGCGCGCTGCCAAGCAGAAAAATTCAAACGTAAACGAAGCCAGCAGTGGCAGCGCAGCAGCACCAGCAGGAGCAGCAGCAGCAGCAGCAGCGACGCCGACAGAAGGTAGGGCCAAGGCATTTCCCTTCACTTTCCACAGCGGCAGCATAACTCACCACACCCTGATCCTGCAGCCAAGCAGCGCCAGCAGCTGCGCACAGATTTTCCGAGAGATTTTCCGAGAGAGAGTGAGAGAGAGCAGGGAGAGCCAGCTTGGGGCTGCTGCACGTGGAGTCTGTGCAAAGCAGTTGCCATCCATCCAACCAGCCAGCCATCCCAGCATCCATACATCCATCCAAGCAGCCATCTAACCCCACAAATAAAGGCAGTGGGAAAAAACATACACAAAAAGTTATGAAAGTTCTCGGGCCAATTGTCTTTGGTGATTTCTCGTTGCCCGCTTCTGGGGGCCCCCGGGTACGAGGGCACCGAGAGCTCAACAGCCCAAGTAATGCCTTTAAATTGACACAATGTGCGAGCGGAGCGGAGAGCTGCTGCTGGCAATTGAATTTCCACGCAATCCTGACCTTGCCCCGGTTTGATTTTGGCCGAGATTTGGGCGAGGATTGGGACTGCGATTCCTCGGCAATTACCGACATTGCAACGCGTTTGATAAACTCTCGGAATCGCACGGAATCTCGCACACACCCGTGCATATTCAGCCAAAAAGAGATGCCAATAAAAATGTAGGATACTGTGTCACACACACACTCTGGCGCACGCAAAGGCGGCCAGATTGACGACGGGTGTGCCAGTGTGTGTACGTGTAAATGACCGGAAACTGTGCTCAAGTGCTCTACGAGGCTACTTTGGCCGGAGTCTCCATTATTTTTTTTTTTTTTGTGTTTGGGGCTCCTTCTGGCCTCCTTGGGACCGGCGGGGGAAGCACTTCAATTGTCAAATTGTCCTTGTTTATTGTTGCAATAGTTTTGCTGATGGACAGGCCTTCCTGCCTGCTCCTTTCACTTGTCTTTAAAGCGACTCCCGCCGACACAGTCGCTTTTTATGGGCGTCGTCCTGTCGTCTTTGCAGTTTCAGTTACCCAGCTTGCAAGTTTTGCAGGAGCAAAGCCTGGCAAAACGAAACAATCAACACGGAAGTAGATTCCTCCTTGTTCATTCGCTCCTGTTGGCGTTGTTTTTGTTAGTTGTGTTGTGCCGTTCAGTGCCGTGCTGTGCTGTGTGTTGTTTTTTGTTCGTTGTTGGGAGCCGTTTTGTTGTGTGTATAAATCAGCGTGGCCTACTGCGCTGCTTGAGGTTGACGGGCTTTTGTGCCGTGAAATGCGAGTTTTACGGCGGAGTGCTTCGGCTTCATCGGGTTGACATTTAAGTTGTTTCTTTCCTGTCATTCAACAGCGAGTGTGCGAGTGTGCCAGTGTGTTTGAGTGCCATGGGAAAGTTCAAAAGTCAGCAGCTAGGGCAACGAAGTTCCGGGAAATGCTCTGCCTGCCATTTCCGCTGTGCACTTTTCCCTTTCTCGGCCGTACACGGGGCGTATGAGCGATCGCTGGATGGGCAGCTCTCAAAGCCACAACTATCGGCAATCAATTAATTTAAGCCCCGGCCCAATTGCAGCGTACGTGCCAGCAGCAGGCAGCTACTGATGGGAAATTGAAAATTGCATTTCCCCCACCGAGGCCACGCCGAGCCGAGGCAAATTGAAATCTGTCAGCGAACTTGATTCTCCGATTCACCGCCAAAGACAGAATTTCATAAACAGGACAGCCGAAAAAGCTGAGACACTCCACTCCGGCAGGCAGATACAGATACAGATACACAGGCACAGCTACAGCTACAGCTACAGATACAGATACTTGACGTTGGGCCAGACAAAGGCAAAAAGGCAATTATAGAAATACAGACGAGCAGCAACAAATAATAAAGGCAAGTTGCCGTAGACAATCGCAACAAGACCAACAACACCAAGGGGCAGATTGGAGGAGACGCTGGCTACGATGTTGACGACAAGTAGCTGCAAAAGTTCTGCGACGTTTTGCGCATATTAAACAAAGTTGACGACAGCGTCGCCGGCAGAGAGAGCTCCGGATGGCAGCGAACTGGGAGCTTGGAGCCGGGAACTGGAAACTCCGCACGGAGAACTGCGTACAACGAGCCGGGAACGGAGAACTCAGACAGCGGCAGCCACAGTCGCCGTCTCATTATTTATTTGATTGCCCGCACAGCCAATGCTCGAATTACCCCCTGGGAGTCCGGGAAGCTGGGGAGGCAGGGAAAGCCTTTGGAAAAACCGAAAGCAGAACCGAAGCGACAGCGGTAGCGGTAGAGGGCGGCAAAAAAACATAATAGTCAGAAGCATAAACGTAATTAATAAGGCAAATTAATGCAAACAATAATACAAATTCATTTTCGTGCACAAATGAAACTAAATTACAACAACGTGAGCCAAGCAGCGAGCCCAGCCCTGTCCCTGCCTTGCCTTGCCCAAGCCCAGCATCCGACAATAAGAGGGAAAAACATGAAAATTGAATGCTAATTTGGGTTGAGCCGAAAACTTGAATACCCTCCTGGGATGCATAGTGGCGAATTGTTTGCGGAACGCCGTCGAGGAACTAATTTCAAGTGTTTCCTGGGGCCAAATTAAACATGAGAAAGGAATCTGCCTTAATTTAATCTCTTTTTGGACAGATTCTTTGGTCAGGGAAAGCTATTTAAGTTCTTGGTTGGTACTTACAGCTCAAATGGTTTTAAAACGATTCGAGGTTTTTGAGTACCTATTCTGATATAAGGAAATATCATAGATTTGACTTGTAGATAGGTAAATTGTTTAGTTTAATAAATGGTATTAATCTGAATGGTCCTTTTAAATAAGGTATACATAAAGTTAAATAATTTCATGTACACTGTATATACGCAAAGTTCAGTAGCAATACAATAAGTTCTGTTTTTCCAAAGTTTCTTAAGCCAACTTAGAGAAGAGTATTAAATTCTTAAAATATCACCCAAAAACTTTCAAAGTAATTTAATTTGCTTTAGTGAAGTTAAATTTCCCTTAAATAACAATGCTTTATGTTTTATAAATAAGAAAATTGATTGAATAACTTCTCTACTTTATTCTTTTACCTTTTCTGTCCTATTAATTTGCCAAGTATTTTATTTATAAGCGATGCTGGTATGCCTAAGCCTAATTCCCCGCAACAACAGCAACGAACAAGTTATAATACCCTTTCCAACTTACAAGAACAACAATAAATGGCAGCTAATAAGCACAGGTCACACACACACACACACACACCTGCACAGGGGCCATCGACAACTAAACAGTTCGTCGAGCAGAAAAACGAGGAAATCTACTTAATCACGTTTAATTAAGGTGAGTTTATAAGTAGCCCTCGCCCTCCGTTAGGCTCTGCATGTGGGTGTGGCCATAGCTGTGTTAGTCTGTGTATCTGTATCTGTAGACACACACTCGTAAAAACCTTCATACATATATTTTTGCGAATTGCTTTTATTGCCATTTGGCGGAATGAGACAAAAGAGCTTGCCAGGTAATCACAACTGGCCACAGAGTTTCCCCTTCGGCCCCGATTCTCTGGCACATAAATGCAAATTAGGGTTAAATGGGTGCGTCACTAGTTCAGCGGATTATATTAATAAGCAAGTGCTTGGCCCAAGTTGATTTATTGGCTGCTTATTTCGTTCTCGTCCTTGCCTTTGCATCCGTTTCCGGTTGGTTCACTGTCTTTTCGTGGCATAGAGTGTTCCTGCTTGAAGGCCGCCCTCTTCTCTCTTGGAGATCGCAGCACCAGCTCGCTTATAGCCTGATCCTCGATACGACGGATTTCGTCCAGGCCACTTTCCACAAAGATTTTGATCAAACGCTGTGACATCTCTGGTGGCTGGGCCATAATAATGGGAAGAAAAAATTAGAGGGGCGGATGACAGGAGAAGAAACCTAATGAGAAAACTAAAACCTGGCTGGCTTAATGCTCGAGTTATTCTTTGGTTGCTTTCACTTTGATTTGTGCCAGGCCAAGTTGTTGTCGCTGCTGTCACACACAGTCACCGCCGAGTCCTACCATTCATCTCCAGCCCAGTGCCCCATCCCGTTCCCGTTCCCGTTCCCATTCTCATTCCCTTTCCCCGTCCCCTTTCCCGCCTGCAATCTGTGCCGTATGTCACACATTTGGTTAATTGAAAAAGCATCAAGGCCCTCATCATTAGCAAAAGCTTCGTGACTTATGTCGCTGCTCGTCCGACCCCAGCTCCTGCCAGCCACATCCTTCGGCACCCTGGCCCCCCGCTGCTTTCCCCGAGTGTGTAATCGATGCATGTCGAACAGCAGCGAGCACAACAACAAGTGAATAGCGTGTGTGACACGAGCTGAAAAACGAAACGAACGAGCCAGAAAGGAGAGCACCCGGGGCAGGAGCAGCGAGAGAGAAAGAGAGGGGAGAGGTGAGGCGGGGAAGGACGAAAAATGGAACAAACAAAAACCTATCAAGTTGTATGCTCGTTGATTTCAATTTGTGAATTGTTGTTGCTCGGCGAATGCATTTGCATATTGCACACCAGCCGCCCCCTGGCCGCCATTCTTGTATGCTTTTCTAATTAAACCCCGGCAAACACACACACGAAAACAAAAAATAATTAAAAATCCCCAAAAGGAAAAAAAAACAACAGATAAGGGTGAAATTTACTCTATAAATTGCGCCGTTTGCAGTTTTTTTTATTTTATATTTTGAACCCACTGTTTGCTGTTTTCCTTTTTGGTTCCAGACTAGGGTAGTAGTCAGGCGCTTGGCTAAAAAGTACATAAATTTCAAATAAGTCACGTTTCCGGCATAGTGCCCCAGCACGCATACAGATACACCGAGACCGTGTCCATGTATGGCGTCTAAAATTTGCTTTGTTGTGGCGTCTGCGGCCAGCGGCAAATAAATAAAATAAAATAAAATGGGAAAAACACAGTGATTCCCCTTTTCCAAAAATAAAATGGAACCGAATCGGAGCAAATATTTGCCTGTTTAGCTTACTTGGACTGCCCCGACTCCTTCTCCTTATTTTTACTTCTTTTTTTTCCCCGTTTCTGTCAGCTTATATTTTTGT